GGGGTCCCAGAACAGCCTGCCTATTCCAGCAGCTTGGTGGCTCTTATTGACCAGAAGCCACGGGGTCAAATGCTAATTGTCTATGAAGGGTCTGTTCCTCAGTGATTTGTCCCAGGGCCAATTTGGAGGGGGAGCCCAGAGTGAGCCAATGACTGTAATGCCAGACACTAAATTATGAGTGGAAGTGAAAGGTGAGGAGGACAAAGTTGAGGAAATTGAACCAAGTTGCCAGGTCTTGAGCAATTTCAATCCCAGGGCTCTGAGCCAAGGACAGGCCACTCTGCCTAAAATAAACCTCCCAAGAGAATCCTAACTGGTCATTTTGCAATATATATCCTAGTACCAACTTTTTAGGTCAATGTAACTGCTTGGACCCCTGTTATACATTAGCACCATGAGGGATTTTATCTTCCGCTGAGATGAGGCAAGCCCACTAGAAACAATGAGCCAGCTGTAAAACTCAGTATGCATTTCAGTGCCAACCCATGCAGGAGCAACCGCAAAGCCGGCTGAAATTCAAAGAAAGGAGAGGTCAAGCTGTGCTCACATAGCTAGTGGATTCTCAGAGCATATGAACTTGGACATGGTCTCAGGAAAGGCAGGAAGACAAAAGAGAGAGGGCAGCATTTTAGGTAGTGTGAAGAAGAGCAGAGTGAGCATAAGTGAGCAGGGAGAATTGCTGAGCATTGTCCTCAGCAGAAACAAGAATGAATTATTTCTTGGTCGGAGAAGAAACTCTTCTTCGGAACAAAGGGTTATTATGGGAGAAGAATGGGGGCTAAAGCTAAATGGGTTGGGAAGATCAACCAAAGAGATCTTCGAAACTATTAGGTCATGCAAATTTTACATCCAAAATCCAGTAGCTTGTCATCTTGAGTATCCACTGACTGCAGTGAATATAACATAGTCCCTCCTCTATCATGCTTCCCAGTCCACTGCAGAGGCCATCCACCAATCCCACAGTTATCTGTTAAGAACCTAGTATGTGCCAAGGATTATACTAGGTACTGGGGACACAATAAAGAGCAAAACAAAAGTTCCAGCCCTCGTGAAATTTATCCTCCACTGGATGTGAGAGACAATATAAAAACCACTCCCATTGCTCTATCAACATCCAGTTAGGTAGTAAAGATCTGTAAAGATAAACACAGCAGAACATTGAGCAGAGACTGGTGGAATGGAGTAGTCAGAGGCCTCACCAAAAAAAACGGACACAATATTTCAAGCCCAGCAAACCAATAAAATGGAGTTGGCACTGCAAAAAATAAAGATACTAAGAAAAGGATTTAGTTTGAAAGAGTACAGAGAAGGTGAAGAGTCTTGTTTTAAAAGTGTGTCAAGTCTGTGATAACAGACAGAAACATCTAAACTCCAAAACTAGTCTATAAGACTAAAGGAGAGAAAGGTTACATGTGTAAATTTTAAAATCATCCATTGAGAGTTGGGGGTGTAGCTCAGTAGCAGAGCATGTGCTTAGCATGTGCAAGTCCTTTGGTTTGATCCCATGTGCCTGTAAGCCCCCGTGGGCGTAAGCGTGCACACACACACACACACACAATCATCCATTGATATTTGAGTGATAAGGTCTTCTCTCTAAAATTGACTTATAGGAAATGAAAGAAACTCAAGGATTAAAGCAATTTTTAAAAATGGACTTAAATAGGTTTTTTTTGCCTATCTCCATAATGACCCCCTGCCTCCAGCCTCCTGGAATTCCAGGGGTAAGGAGTGACTTAGTGCAGGCAGCAAGAGCCATCAACAAAATAACAGTGTTAATAATTGAGGTTCATACACAATAAACTACTTAAAAGACCTCTGTCCCCTGTCTCTTCAATATCCAAGGCACAGTATTAGGGACAGCTCTTCCTCTTTGGCGCTTACCCCTTAGACCACATATTGCCTCTTTGTGATTTTCTTCCTCTACAGATGGCTGTGGGTGTTTTAATGTGTAGGAGAAAGAATTTGAAAAGCAAAATAAATAAATTTTAAACTGGTCCTTCCAGCATTCCTAGAAAGGGCAAGAATTAAATGTTGATAGACTCAAGGGTAGTGCTATGGTGTGGATATAGTTTAAGTATGTCCGCTACAGTTTCATATGTTGATTTTGAATCCCCATTGTGAGTTATCAGGGGTGTTAATCTGAATACGGTATCTACAGGTGGGGCTTTGGGTGATTAAGATTAGATAAAAGCTGGGGTTGTGGCTTAGTGGTAGAGCACTTGCCTAATGTGTATGAGGCACTGGGTTCGAATCTTGGCACCACATATAAATAAGTAAATAAAATAAAGGTCCATGGGCAACTAAAAAAAATTTTTTTAAAAATTACATAAAGTCATTAGAGTAGAGGCCCCATGATTCAATCCTGGTGTCTTTTACGATTAGGGAGAGAGACCAGAAGAGACACATGTTCACACACATGCTCCCTGCCTCTTGTCATGCAATGTCCTATATCATATGAGGGCTCCACCAGGAAGAAGGTCATCACCACATGTGGCTCCTTGATGTTTGTAAATTCACAACCATGAGCCCAAATCAACCTCCTATCTTTAAAATTTACCCAGTCTGTGATATCAACAAAAAAATGGACTAATACAGGTAATTCTCTGCTCAGAACTGACTCAGTTTTAACACTGAAAATAGTACATCTCAGAAAATCCCTCAATCCTGAGCACATGACTGACCACCCTCAGGCTTGGTCTGACCTTCATAGCTATAATATGTGCCTATGTGTGATGCAACACATGTTTTACTTCTCTAAAAGTGACGTCAGCAGGGTCAAGACACCTTTTTGGTTCCCAAGCCTTACCTAACCTTCCACACCCAGCCATCCCAGAAACTGGGTCCTCTTTCCTTGCTGAGAGAGAGGAGGGATGCTCAAAATTCCTAGGCATGAATTGTCCCTGATTCCCTGACCTTCTACTCCCAAGACCTTCTACTGATCCTCAATTACCACCTAAACCAGCAACACCAAATCTCCCTGTGACCTTAATCCACGGCATTGCTGCACCTTCTGCCCAGCAAGGTAGGATGGTGGGGGTGGAGATCTGGGGGTCAAAGTCAGACAAAGAGAAAAAGAAGCAAGCTCATGGGAACTGGTGTTGTGCTCTAACACAGCAGATCACGCTAAAGGGGAACCCCCGAGAAGTGACAGCCTGCTGACCATGTAAGAGGTATGCTTTACGTCTTCGAGTTACAGAAACACAGGAAATGCTTTCTGCCCCATTTTGGAGTTTTGGGCTGGAAGCTGGCCTGACTCACCTTCAGAATGAAAACCAGGGGAGGGCCTTCAAATCAAGGTCACATCATACACTCTTCCAGGAGCCACCATGCTTGGAACACTCCCAAATCATTTCTGCCAGTTATTAGAGAATGCTACGAAGTTATAAGGAAGATTCAAAGAAAATGCCAAGACTTGGCTTGATTCTTGTTTCAGAATTTTCCTGCTGGTCTAGGTTAAAAGAACAATAGTCAGGGGACATAGTCCTAAAGGGATAATCCCCGTTTGACCCCTGGTCACTTTGACTGCATGTGTACAGATTAAAGTGCAAATCTTAAATTAGCTATTTAGGTAACCTTGACTCACAAATCCTCACCTGAATTACTAATAGCCAAAGCAAAAGAGAGTTGTTATGATTTCCTTTTTTGACTGAATTATCTGGGGTATACCTCAGACCCACCCAAGTAAGGCAGCCCCTTCCACTGTAGTGGAGCTCAGTGAGGCTCAGCCAGACAGACTGGACTGTGAAGGCTGTTGCAAGATTGCATCAGTGACCTTTGCAATTTTCTGGCCAATGCCTTTCTCCACTCCTCCCCCTATCTTCTCCCTGTCCCTGTTTAAAGCCCTTTGGCCTATTCTCTTCTCCTTCCCCCCCACTTTGAGAATTATCTGGTATATCAATAACCAAAGCTAAATTAGAACCCAACCTGCCCCCCCACCCCGCAGCGGATTATGTTTAATCCTAGTCAAATTATCCCATTAAGTTCCAAGTTTTCAATTCTGGGAATATTTCAATGAAATTGACATGGGTGCATTAAAATAAGTTGAAAATCATGATCTAGAGCTTAAATGTTCTTTATTATCATTAAGAATGAAACTAGATTATCCTATAAATAAAACTCTGGGACAATATGGTATCTTTTATTTATATAAGCCATGCTATAAATAGGGAAAATATGATATCTGGGATGCAGGGATAAAATTTGAATCCTATAGTCTCAAGCTTCCAAGAGTATCCACCCTGGTTTCTTACCCAATCTGTCTGCTTCACCCCCTCCTGCCCTATACTGCTTCTATGATACAGCTGAGCTGGCACAGTGAACTTGTACCCCCAGATCCAGGGAAGTGGCAAAGAATCATTGAAATATTTTCATTCTAAAGGAGCAGACAAATTTTTACTAGCAGCTCCCTTCCATGCCATGCCTGCCCTAATGAAGTTGTCATTTTTCAAATGGGAGGGAGGACAACTTGGATTTAATGGCTGTTCCATAGAAACACCCTACAGGTAAAGGGACTTACCCCCACCCCACTACCTACCCCTACCTCTGCGCATAAAAGGCACCCTCAATGATTAGTGTTCTGTTAAGTGGCTCTAGCAATGCAGGCACCTGCGGAGGCAGCTGCAGCTGCAGCCAAGGCCAGCCCGAATAAAGCCAATCAGGCAGAGAGGCTGTGCACCTACCAACGCCACTATAAAGTGTCATGTCAGAAATGTATGCCGACACCTCCCTAGGTCTTTCTAGCCGCCCCAACTGGGACTTGGCGTGCAGACCTGCCCTCCCGCCCAGACCGCTGCAGCAGCCCCGTCCAGGGTCTCCCAGATCACACAGTCAGGTCGTGCGCAGCTCGTGGCCACCTCCCGCCAGGTTTCTGCGGGGGTTCCACCCCCTCCCCCTCTTCCTCCCCCTTCTTCCTCCCCCTCCTTTCTCTGGCTTGTGCAGCGCTGGCCCGGACCAGCAAACCAGGAGGCGGGTCTTCGGCAAAAGATATAAGCGGCCCAGAGACGCTGACTAGGTGCCAGCTGCGGAGTCTCCTTCTGGAAGAGCTGCAGCTACGGAGAAGGAAAGCGCCAAGGCCAGCCCGACAGACTGACGCGCTGACCGCCGCTGCGCCGCCGCCCCAGCTCGCGCTGCGCCACCAAGGTAAAGCCCGCCTGGACACGCAGACCCGGTCAAGGGCTGGGCGCACTGTCCCGGGGAGGCCTTGCCCAAGAGAGCCGAGGGAGGGGTGCCCAGGAAGCTGGAGCCACCTTGGGGGACTAAAGGTTCCACGTTTTCTTCTCCACTCCTCCTGCAGGTAACCCACTCGCTAGAGCCCGGACCCGAAATGGAAACGGTCCAGGAGCTGATTCCTCTGGCTAAGGAGATGATGTCTCAGAAGTCCAAGGGGAAGCTCGTCAAGCTGTACGTGCTGGGCAGTGTGCTGGCCCTCTTCGGCGTGGTGCTGGGCCTGATGGAGACAGTGTGCAGCCCCTTCACAGCAGCTAGCCGTCTGCGGGACGAGGAGGCAATGGTGGCTGAGCTGCGGGGCGCTCAGGAGCGACAGGCCCAACGCAGGCAAGCCCTGCTGGAGAAAGGCAAGCAGCCAGAGGAAGCCCTGCTTGGTTGCCGGGCCCACTCCCACCGGCAGCATGCCTCCTAGGAACTCCAGATCAGCAGAAGGGAAGGGGGGACAGACAGAAAGACAGACAGACAGAGACAGACAGACAGATCCTGACTCAAATGGGAGACAAGAGGAGCCATGTGCCCTTTGAGAGAAGTCACTGACACCTAGAACTGACCTGCCACGTGGATCCACCAAAAGGAGTTTGGGATTGAGTTTTGCTGCTATGCAGCATTGTGTTGTGAAAATATATTCAAAATTGTGTATCTGTAAGCTATCTGAGAATCTATTGTTTTGCACTAGGGAAGAAGGAGAAATGCTTTTTGTACTATTATTATTTTTATTATTATTATAATGAACACCATTTTGCATTTTGAAATAAAAACGTTTTATACTGTATCTCATAATTTAATTCCTGAAAGATGGGGTGACCTGGAATGGGCAGCCATGGAGGGTGGGCACGCTGGTGACAGGTCTCCCCTGAGTACTGTACACTGAACAGTTCTGGACACTTGCTTCATGGGGACTCTGATATTGCTATTATACATACATATCGAGGACTCATTTTTACTTCCCATTACAGATAGAAAGCAAAATTTTCATAAGTCCCACCAGAAGTATTTTAAGATCAGAAAATAAGTCAATTTCTGACCTAGAAAAAGCTAATGGAGATAACTGATGAATTCCAGGGCAAAAAAACAAAAACAAACATATTTATTCTTTACACCTGTGTGCTGGGGGTTCCTTACCATAGCTGCTGATACCTCTTTCTTCCTAACTGTATTTTCATGAAAAGAGAGAATAGAAGAGAAGAGAAAGAGAAGGTGGGAGTTTGGGAGAAAGAAGGAAACTAACTACCTGGTAGCCTAAGAGGCAAGCTCCCAAGAACACCTTATCAGATGAGGAGTCTTGCTTTACCCAGCCTTCCTCCCCAGGAACTTAAATTCTGGAACTTAAGTTCTAGGTTAGAAAGAAAATAATGATCATCACAGACCTGAGTCCTCTTCCTCCAGGGACTAGTTTGTTCTGTGACAAGAACTAACTCAGAAGCTCTGTAGGACTCAGCAAAGAGTTAGCCACCGGCTTGGGCACAGCTTGATACTCCCTTCTGGAACTATTAATATTGCCTATCCTAACTGGGGACAGATGCTTTACTACTGCTATTAATGGCCATGTATTTTTGCCAAACCTGATTCAGCTAACCCACAAACCATCCCTGTACACATATAGACACTGCATTTTATTTATTTGTGCTAGCTCAAATTCTACCCAACATTCCTGGACTTGATCAAATACTAGCTCTCCCTAATATCTATTCTTATCACCCCAAAGGAAAGAGTAGTAGGAATGTGTTGAGATTAATCAAGGAAAAAAAAAACATATTTGTAGTTTTAGAGGAAAATAATGTCAGTGACACTAATGTTCTTCCTGTTTACTATATGGGATATTTGACCTCATATTGAGGCAGAGCCTAATCTTAAATGTCCAGAATCTTCCTAGGAATTCACCCAATCTAATCCTTCCATTCCAAAATACCTCTTCTATGTTCATACTCCTCTGCCCATTCAATCACCACCTTGTCCAGCTCTCAATAACTCAAACCATCCCCTACTTCTCTCTAGCATGTTCACCCTAAACCAACCCATTGCCAGACTGTCTTCCCTCAATACCTTTCATCTTGATGCTCTTTGGCTTAGAAACATCAGACTAAACTCCCCTGCCAGGTTTCGGTGCTCAACAATCTGCTCCCACCTCCCCCCTCCACTGATTTCTCAAACTACTCAGCAGGATACTCTGATATCTGGTATCCTGCTCTCTTCTGGTCTTTGGCACTCCATCCACATTACTCTTCCCACCTCAATGTACCTTCACCCGCAGTCTCTGCGCCTTCTGAAACTACATACCTCAAATTCTCCAAGAGGTAGAATTTTAAATAAATCTGCCCACTGTCAAACTATATATCAAATTATGTGCTCTGATTTTTGGTATAGATGGTAATTAATGCCTGTATTTGGGAGCTTCCCTATATATTAAAATATAGATGCTTAAATATAGAGAGAATATATATATATATTTACTTAGAAGTTAATGCCCCATGTTTTCTCACTTTCTTTTTTTAAATATTTTTAAATATTTAATTGATTTTATTTTTTAAATACATGACAGTGAAAAGCATTATAATTCTTATTACACATATAGAGCACAATTTTTCATATCTCTGTTTGTATATAAAGTATGTTCACACCAATTCATGTCTTCATACATGTACTTTGGATAATAATGTCCATCACATTCTACCATCATTCTAACCTCCTGCCCACTCCCTTCCCTCCCACCACTCTGCCCTATCTAAAGGTTCTCTATTCCTCCCAAGCTCCCCCTCCCTACCTCATTATGGGTCAGTCACCTTTATATCAGAGAAAACATTCGGCATGTTTCCTCACTTTCAAATTACCCAACCCAATCATGTCTGAACTATGAAATTTTCTCTATCCTCACTGATCTTTTCATTGCTCTGAATTCTTACAGGTAATACAGTCTAGATTTCCTACTGGATCATTCAGTAGGGGGCTATTTTTTACCCAGTTGTTTTGGGGGTTTTGTAATGTCTTTAATGGCCCCAAGGTCAAGGACCATGTCTTCTTCAGTGTTCATAGAAATTGCCAAGTCCTAGGCAAATAGTAGTTCCTTAACAAATACTTGGTTGTTTAATCAATTCATTTGTATAGTTATAGCAGTGGTTGTACACGGAAGGAAAAGCAACTTTGTCCTCACAGTTCACATTTGACAATGTCTAGAGAGAGATCTGGTTGACTGGTGGCAGGAGGGACACCACTGCTGTCATCTAGTGGGTAGAAACCAGGGATGCTATTAAGCATCTTCTAATGCATGAGACAGCCAATAATTCTACAGCAAATAATTCTCCAATTCAAAACGTCAACATGGCTGAGGTTGAGAAAAGCTAAATTAGAGGTAAGTAAGGAGAAAGGTTTTGCCTAATATTTTCAGAATCAAGGTTTTGATGTAGTCTCATAAGATAATGTCTGGTTGCAATCAAATTTATAAGTAGTTGCACCAATCGTCCTTGGTCCTATTCTATTTGGTAATCTCATCAACAAGTAGGAACGGTGTCAGAAGGTGTACTTAACAGTTCTGTTGGTGACACAGAGCTGGGATAGCAGAGTCAGGATTCAAAATAACAAGCTGGAACCATGCATGTATGTAAACCAATTGATACTGAATAGGGAAGATGATACGGTATAGAATTTACGTCCAAGAAAGTCAATTGTACGACCCCTGAATTAGGAAGGCTTATTTTAGCAGCAGATCATATAAAAAAGACCTAGAAATTTTCGGTGATTACAAGCTCATTAAAGCCAACAAGAGCTTGTAATTGGACTGCTACAACAAATGAATTCCTTCTTAGTAGAGGTAGAATGTCCAGGAAAAAAAGGATAGTTGGTGACTTTGTTATATGTTGCAATCAGTCAGGTTGGAAAACAAAGAAGTTAAATCAGACCCCCTGGATTTGCTTGGGTTTGACTCCTGGCTCCCCTATTTGCTAGCTCTTAAAACCTTGGAAATGTTACTTAAACTCTGCCTTAAGTTATAGCCTTTCCTACCTACAGAAGGTACCTTCTTCAAAGGATAATTTTGCTGATTAAATGAGATACTAAATGTCAATTCTTAGAGCAGTACCTAACAGATAGTAGACTTTCAGTCAATTATATCATTATTACCAAAATATTATACTTTAAGATAATTTGTTGATTAAGCTCATCTAACCAGTGCTTTTGCATAAAATGCCTTACATAGTGGTTGAAGACACAGTTCTCAACTCTGATCAAGTGAAACACCTATTAGTTATCTTGTCCTTTACAAAACACCACAAAACTCTGACCTACTCATATAAATAAATATATAATCATGCTGGCATGGTGGTGCACACCTGGAATCCCAGCAATTTGGTAGGCTGAGGCAGAAGGATCAAAAGTTCAAGGCTAACCTCAGAAATTTAGCAAGGCCCTAAGCAACTTAGCCAGACCTTAATGTGACCCAGAGGGTAAGCATCCCTGGGTTTAATCCCCAGTACCAAAACAAAAAAATAAAAATAAAATAAAAAATAAGGAAATACATAATATTGTACTACATCGGATACTATCTCACTCTATACCCTAATGAAAACAAATAGTAGGTATCAATTTTGAGAATATTAAATATTCCCATATTCTTAGGAAAAGTTTGATTGTTCTTCACTCATAGTAATCAAAACCAGTTTAAAACCATTTGACTTAATCAATAACAACCCACTTGTTAACAATCTTTTACAAGCCAAAGGATTGGCCATCACTTATGCATACTAACCAATCAGGAATGAACTCACCCCATTAAATATATCTCAGTATGCCAACAAATCAACAAATAGGCATGCTTTTGCAGATGATGTCAGTCCACTTACATCTAGGAAAGCACACCAATCCCTGATCTTCATGCTCTCCCAAAACCCTATCTTGTATAAAATCAGCAGTCTGCCCTATTCAGAAAGATTGAGCAGCAAACTCACCTTACTATAATCAGCTATAAATTCACCTTTTACATTTTAACTCAGGCACTAAGTGGTGATCTCATCATTCTTTAACAGTTCTGTAGGGGTTACTGTGATTGTTTTAAAGACCTCTGCTTGGCAGTATTCCAGGGGACCCTTGGATCAACAATATTGATTGGATGTCTTCTGCACAAATTCTCTTTCTCTTCAGATCTATTCTCAGGTAAGTTACATCTCAACAATAATCTGAACCCTGACAAGTCTCATTTGTGTCGTTATTGTTTTGTGATTTGTAGCCAAGAAAATCTTTTAGATCATTTGCTTCTATTTTTGTTAAAAAATTAGAAATTTTTAGCTTATAGGTATACTTTCTGGTAAACAATTATACCTAGACATTTGTATAAAGTCTAGTTACTGAGTAATTAGTCACAGGTCTTTGAATAAGATCACTTGACATTCTGTGTGGGAAGTATATTGTTAACTAGTTCAGGCATGACTCTTTGTTAATTTACGGGCATTTTCAGATGCATTTAATAGATCTTTGCATAAGTTCATTAAACCTCTTGTTTTGGAGGCATACCATCTGATTAATATTTCTACTACTAAACTGGTAATTCCTCTGCTGCTCACTTTGCTTTTCCTTTGTATCATAAAGTCTTTTTTCTTTCTTTTCTTTTTTTTTTTTTTTTTTTTTTTTTTTGGTACTGGGGATTGAACTCAAGGGTGTTTACCACTCAGCCACATTCCCAGCCTTTTTATATATTTTATTTAGAGATAGGGTCTCAATGAGTTGCGTAGGTCCTCACTAAATTGCTAAGGCTGGCTTTGAACTCGTGATCCTCCTGCCTCAGCC